AGCAGTTCACTGATTTCAAACAGTTCTGCTACTAATAGTTGAAGAAAGTTTTAATCACTGATCACCTCATGCGAACGTATGCGTGTACACAACACATGCATTGCAATGACTATTAAAATCTTATCGAAAAACCCTGATTCAGAAAATGCATTCTGTTATAGTATGCAGAAAGATTGACAAAACCTTCATAAGAAGCCAGATATGCCTAAAGCCTTTTTCAAACAATCACTTTGCTTCTAAGTTTCAGGAAAAACACGTGAATCAACGTGTAAGTATCAGGTTGGTTAAAGAGATGAAAAACCAGTAGAGTTTAAATGTGGTGAACCTGGAAATAGCCCAGACTAGTATATATATATATATATATATATATATATATATATATATAAACTATTGTATTTTGTATATATGTTGTGGAGGTCGACGTTGTAAATACACCTTCTGTTTCATTATCGCCTTTTCTGCCTACGGAGAAACTGAATATCAAGCAAGGGGGGAAATCTGAAAGTTATTGTACAAGTGTCCACACATATATAACTCAGGCTATATCAAGTCACTGTAAGGATATAAAATATTCGATCATATAAAATGACAAACCACTGGAAAGTAAATCTTATAATTCAAGCTAAAGAAATCCTTGTGTTTAGATCTGAGGTTAAATAACGAGTGTTTCCAAAATCACTTACTCTATAAATGCTTAAGATTTCAGGTTAGAATTCATCATGGACTGACACCAGTTGGAGGAACATTGGAAACCTGGGAGCACTGAACAGTTGCTTCGTCCTAATATATGACTCCTCAACAGTGCGAAACAGCTGTCCAGTGCTCCCAGGTTTCCAATATTCCTCCGACTGATGTCAGTCTATTATGAATTCCAACCTGAAATCAACTAATAAATTTCCACAAACCTCTAGACTGAAATCCATGAGATATTGCATACTGTAAAATTAAATTTTGATGTATGAACTACTTCAAATAAGAATAAAACCTGGACACTATGGCAGAATGTAGCTTCCTCTAGACGAAGCATTGCGAGATGATATCATTTCTTAGTTTCATATAACTATAAATACTCAGGAATAATTTGTTATTATAAAAGCCGTGTTAGCTGTTGTACGGTTGTTTAGGAATTACAAATGATGTCATCTTGCAGTATTTATTTTCTTAATGCCTGATTTAAATTTATATGATATATATTTTTTTACTGACGTATATTTATTTATCTAGGTATATATATATATATATATATATATATATATATATATATATATATATATATATATATATATATAGGGAGTTTCGCTTACTGTATTACGTTTAGTAAATAATTTACTATCTGTGCTTTCAGCAAAGTAACTTCGCAAATTTTAGATAGCTGTTATGATTTTAATTTTCTCTCCTTCTTTATGTTAAGAATATATTTTCCATGTATCTTAAACATGTGCTGAACCATTCGTATTACATTTAGCTGGTTTTAATCCGATAATGAATGATTTGGTCAACCGCGTCCCACGCCCAACTATGTTAGTTTTTAATATTATCACTTAAACCGACCCTATTGTGTATTTGTTTGTAAATTGCTTTCGCAGCTATAGCTGAGCTTGTTTTCACTTTCTTCATCTTACTAAAGTCTCCCAGTTGTGGTCTAGCTAGATTTTTTTGCTCGAAAAGCTTATTGATTCATGCTGACTACATCGATACATATATCTGACCTCGTAATCATTTCGTAAACTAAACAATTTTACCTGTGTTGACAGACTCTCTTAACCTACAGAGCCTGTTTTTAAATGAGCTTATAGATTACAATGCTGATCTGGTCCAAGCCTTATTGAGAATTTTTCGTAACTTCTCTGAAGTGCCTTTTGTTGTTTAGTAGCACTAGAGATTTTGAATTATCTCCTCGCAAGATCCCCATTATTATTATTATTGTTAATAATCATTTGTATAATAAACATCCATGTTACCACCATTAGTCATGTTTTTTGCACAATTCCCAATGACTCTAATGTTCACTTTATGAAGGTTAATATTTATGAGTAAGGTTTTTTAAATGCATCTGATTTCTTATTTCAGATCTTCTTTCTAACCAATAGCTTATTTGGTCCCGTATTGAAATATTTTAGTAAGTCTAGTTTAACTGACATAAGGTGACATGACCTAAAGTACAAGAAGTGATTCGAATATGAAGGCTTCCTATAAACTTCCATCCTGTTTTCGTTTTTGTTCTGCAATCCAGTATATCTGGATGCTCTTCACCACTTTCTTAATTGCATCGCATTCAGTCAGTTAGTCAATATCAACATTGGATTTAGAATTATTGCGTTCACTACTGAGTTTACATGTGTAAAAATACTATCTGTATGCTTAGATTTCAGTACTATAAACGTGTCATCTACATATTAAAACCGTATTTGTGGGTAAATGTTTCGAGGACCACCCACTCCGAACTATTCAGAAGTTTGTTTGCCATGATAGTGGGTATTGGTGCCCCTATGGTAACTCCTAGCACAATATTCTCGACTGGCACTACAGTTTGAAGATTAGGCTCATGATCATCAGTGAGCTTATTTTTAATTACCTTCAAAGAAATGTCAGTGGATATTTTTCTATACAAACGAATTACATCGAAACTAACCATCTTTTTCATTGTCGTCTAAATGTATACCATCTGATCTAAGCTTCAAATTATAGGAAATTACGATTCTATATTTAGAAGTTTCCTACTAGACCTAGTATCACTGCAAAGTGATCGGATAACTCACGAAGTGAAGATTTTAAAAGTCTACCGTAAATATGATGTGGTAACCTGGCTTATGACCCGTAATAGTACCATAAATCTTGCTGAGATTTTTAACTTTCGGTAATAAAGTAGGTCATTTTGACTCGCCTAAAAACGATTTCATTCCGCTAATAACGTTTGCTGTGGATTTTTAACCTTATTCATAATAACGTCCATTGGTTTCTTAGTGTCTTCATCCAGTCCTATGTTTATACGTTCGATAATTGTATGAATCCAATCTAATGCTATTTGTATTTTGAGATTGATATCTTCAGGTTTCACTTCATTGACAATTACATCGAAAAAAGACTGATTGAGCGAAGAAATTTATTCCTTGCCTTCTCTAGCACCTTTACTACTGTTGAGTTTAGGACTCTAGTTAAGGGATTGACAACCCACTTCGATTTATCGATCATTGGTAATGCATTGGTAATTTTATCATCCTCGACTGGATACTTTTCTTCCACCAGTTTGTCAAACTTCGTAAAAACAACTAAATAACTGGTCTATCTTTAAGTTGTTAACCACCAGTTTATAATCCTTTTCACTAACTCTTTGGATCATTTCATACTTTCATTCTTCAATAAAACTACGGATGCTGTGCAACTTCTTGACTATGACTCACACGTTCTACTACTGCTTTAACCTTGTCTGTTGGAATTTGAACAAGTAGAAGCGAATTTTTTTCGAATAATTTGATTTCTTAAGAAATTTGATATTAAATATACGCTAACTTGTGAATTCAGCTTCTATGAAAGTTCATCAACAACTCATTTTATTGGTTAATACCATTACTAATTTACTAATTCTGTAATGTCAAACAAGTAGACTTTATCAGCAAGATATTGTTAAGACTTGTCAACCAGGATTCTCAAATATTGCTAGCAAATATAAACTGCGGAATATCTAAAGTCTTTTCCATCTAGACTACTGCATTTCAGGTAACACAGTATCTGCTATAAATAGGTTTATTTCTACCTTGAAAGTAAAATCATTTTACTCAAATGGATTGCACGTGCAATAGGAACACTTTATCAGTGAGTGAAATTCAAAATATACCAAAACACTCTGTTAAGTTAATCTTTTTTTAATACGACTTGATTTTCAAAATTGCAGTGTTATTAGTGTTTGCGAAACTCAACCTTAGTTTCCCTGTTGAGTTACCACTTAAAAATTGGAATATTTTAGTCTTATTTTCACCTAAAATATACCAATTTTCGACTTTTGTCTTAAAAATAAAGTTAGACATAAGTTTAAGTTTCCCCTAAATTTATTTTCCGTTTTACTTTTGTAACGGGATTAAAGCTTACAAGTAAATCACATTGATTGTACTTTCCGTATTTAACAGTATATTTTCACTAAAATTGGCATCAGTTATGTATTGAAGGTCGTGTTGGGATCAAAGTTTTTCAAACTGGATAAAAGCAAAACTGATATTTTCATCCCCACCTCACTCATATCGTCACAAGTATTTACACACATTTCACTCCATGGATCCACTTGTGTAATAGGTGTCATCTTGAAAGATTTGGTTAATTTCATATAGTTGAAAACAATAATTTATAGTTTCAACATTTCGCTGAATACTACTATTATCGGTTCGACTTCATAACACATAAGACCTTCAACTATCGATTTTAACCATTATGCATAATTCAACCTAAATATATGCCCTTCACCGCATAATTCGGATCATTGTCAGTGATTCGGTGAAATCAGATTACAACTCGGTCTGGCTATCATCAGGTTTTTTCTTACTTATATCTTTCTGGATTATGTAGCTGGTTGAAGTATACGTTGTTACTGTACGTGTTGCATATTCCCTAATCAACTCAGTTGATAATAATTCATGAATACTTTAACTTTTCCACACCAGTCCTCGCCATCACTCATGCGTTGATACTCTAACCGACTGATGATGCTTTGAAATTGAATTCGGAAAAATGCACTCATTTCTCAGTAATACAGATGTGGAATAATTTAGAAAACCTTAATAAAAATTATACATCAATGTTGAGATTTCCTGAGGCACCAAACCAAGAAAGTCAATGTTACTTTCAGGTAAGTGAATTGATCGACATGTTCAACTGATTCTTTCGATATTTTAATATGAGACGTTCAGTGCGTTTGTGATCACTTAATGACCTTATTTTTAGAACCACATTAATGTTGCGTTGTACGTTTACGAGTATATTTTTACTGATTTTTCCTTATGAATAATTAGTTAGCTGTCGGGACAAATCCAATTACACTAGCAGCACCTGGTAAAGTCCCTCAAGATCACTTTGTGTTAGATATGGCGACAAGTGCAGTTGCTCTGGGTAAGGTAAGTTTGATTTGTCTCTCATTTTCATCATTTTTACCTTTTAAAATACACTAAGATGTGAGGTATTTTTGTTCTTTCTGTTTCTTGTGAGCACATGTAAGCACACAGTCTGACGTAAAAATGACTCATGGTGTTTTGAAAACGCATTTTTAGAATGAGATATACTGTACAGATCATTGAATTTCCTTGGATAGATCACTTGAATTTTCTTCTAGTTTCAATTCATTTGAAAATATCACGCAAGGTCACTTAATTCATTCTATGACCTAACAATCTTACTGAGAATCTCATAGATCACCACCAGAATGCTTATCTTAACACTTTACCTTGGGCGAGATAATAAGCCAGTACTCGAAATTATCAAATAATACATAGAGATTTTTACCGTTTGTACTCTTCTATAATTAAGTCTGGTAGTAAGAACAAAATACGCAGCTTTGTTATAAACAACACCTTACAGTCTGCCTGAATTCAGTAAACATAAATGAACAACGGGAAACCGCCAAATTTACTTTAATCTATTGCTATCTCAAATGAATGTGGCCGATGCAAAAGATCATGAAATTAACATGCATATTGCACAAAGTTAGAGTAAACTGCTACGTATATTACTAAAAAATGATCATTTTATAAAACCGTGCAAAAGATTTTTCAACTCTTCGGTGACAGCATTTTAGACTTAGCAGTTCTACACTAAGAATAACGCAAATTCTATCAAAGTTGTTACTCAAAAGAATAACCTATAAAGGTAGGTTAACTACTGAGATATCATCTCTGATGAGCTACTCGCGATCAGTAAAACGGACACATATGAGCTCACAGATAAAGAAAGTAATTATGTACTGCATTATTCGATACAAAAACTGACTCAGAACGAATCTACCGATATTTTCTCTTGTTCAAATAGAATGAAGAAAACGGAACTTTGAATATCATTACCAATATGATTTCCTCTTAAGTCCTTACCAAAAGTATTGTCTAGATGATAGTTAGTTGTTTAAGTTAATATTCTGGAAATTTACGGTATTTAAACCTCGGTCACTGAAGTTTGAAATGAGTTTGTTTAATCTCTGAATACTTAGATCAATAGTTGGTAATAACTAAATGTGAGTTTGCAATACCGCATTTCACTGCAGAATAATCACAATTTAGCTGATATTTTACGTTATCTGCCTGGTAAATCACTGAAAGAAGACATTCAATATGCTATAACATTCTTCCTCTGCCTTGACCAATGTATTGACACTGTTCATTGATAGTGTGCTAGTATTTATCGTAAAATTAGTGCCTTTTGCCTTTGGAGCGTAGTAATATGGAAAGTCGTAACTTTTCGGTATTAATACGTAAACATTTATGACGATGTGTTTACAAGATTCACAAAATTTGCTGAAATTCACTTCTGAATTACCGGAATAAACTTGCATACAAACAATCAAAACTGATTTCCAACAGTTGTCTGCATGTAAAAGTATGCTATACTTACTACAACAGTTGTTTTGGTCAGAAATATAACATTTACAATTTAATATACTTTTTGGATACCACAAATATATTTGTGAATTTATCCAGATGTGTAAGACAATTCTGTAAAATGAAATTGCCAATCATCGATTAGTATTTAAAGTGGGATAATAAATTTGGTAATTTAAGTCGAAATATCGTGGGCTTGGTGTGACACGGCCAACTGAAAAGTAGTATTATGAAATTCCCCATGGTAGCCTAGACCAGTACAATAATGCGGTGATAAGCAGTGTAAGATGAACTAAAGTGATCACAAGTTGTAATATGTTTTAGTGAAGATAAGCATATGATTGACGGAGCACAAGTTTTTTTCAAACTGAATCACCTGTACCTTAATCTTATTCTAGCTTCTTTATATGTAGACATTACTGAGAGTGTTACAAATTGGAAGCTTGGTTAAGCGCCGAGATACCTTTTTTGGTGAACATCAACATACTACCCGACTTCCTAGATTTTTAAAACTTCTAGATGAAAACGTTATAAGGCGTTTAGGCACAACATATGTCATCGTTAGTTTTTCGTGCTAGTTAACCGCCTTTCCTAAGGTTTCATGGTCGAAATAATTTTCGATAAATGTATGTTTTTTTAGCATGTTTGGCATTGATTCTCCGTACATAGTGATAGTTACAAAAGTGCATCACTCTCAGAAAGTGGTTAAAAAAGACCAGTGGATCTCAGCAGATTCCTATTAAGTGGGTGCACGCGAACGCACTCCTATGGGCTCTGAGCACAATGAGAATGACAAAAACTATACACAATGACCAGGAACAGTGGTAGGTTAGAGAGGCAATATGTAACAGAAGACAACTGTTAAACTCAACAAGGAAATTGGGGCAAAACGTCAATGGTTAGTGAAGCTGTAGGGGAAAGGAATGGATGTAATTCCTCCGAAGAGGAGGTGAATGAAACAACCTGCAAAACACCTCGAGGAACAGTTTAAATGGACTTCAGCTTCGATTTCGATGCCCGCTGCCCAATAGGATCCTGAATGGAACACCAAGATAGGACCCCGAACACTTACCGAAGCCGTAGTAACCTGGGACAAGAAAGGGCAACAGCACCATACGGACTGGTTGTAGAACTACTTGACGACGGTGGTAGAGTTTTCGATCAAACTAACTGAACTATTAACTAGTGTGTTGAATTCGGATATGGCCTCCTCTAACTAATGTCAATCACCAATTGTCACGGTCATCAACGCCAGAGGTCCTATTATGATAGCCTCAGACAAATCAACCTAGTAAAAACATTTAGGATATTCCATTCTGCAACTACCAGACATCCAGGTGTAGTTCAGTAACAGAGAATCCGAGGAAATCGAGCAGGTTTCAGACCTGGTCGTGCGTGAATCGATCAGATATTCGCGCTCCACCAGGTACCGGAACGCAGGTCCACTTACCGACGTTCCACAATGGCTGCATTTCTCGACCTGAAAGGGCCATCCGACTCCACCAATGGAGATGTTTTATGGTGGTATCTCAATAAAAGGCCTGCTGAGTAAGTACAACATCCTGTTGAAGGCTTCATACTCGAACACCCGTAAACGTGTTAGAGTCTATTGTGAGTTGTGTACGTTATTTGATACCCGTCAAAGATGTCCACTCCCTTCATTATTATTCAGTTTCACCAGAAATGTACTTATGCAGGTCTTCCTCATGTTTAACTTTACGCTAGTTGGTCTAATCACAGGAGATTCCTTGACAGATTGGAAGTAAGCAGATGACATAACCGTGTTGCGTGAAAACCGAATTGATTCTTCCAAACACTCACTAGGTTTAAAAATGGTGTGCAATTAGTTATCAGTATCAGTTTCTTGTATAAGTCGTTTGATACACTTTTAATAAAAACGTATCGTTCACACCCAGACGTATATATATGACTAAGTTCACAACCTAACCAATCAATACGGAGAAAAAGTAAAATTCCTTTTTTTAGTACAGTAAATCAGACTATAAAATCGATCGGTAAACACGAATAAATCAATACGATGTTATGTTAGTGCAGGCGTATGATTATAGTTCAAGGTCGTAGAAAATCTAATGAAAGAAAGAAAACATTGTGTGCAAATATATATATATATATATATATATATATATATATATATATAAACCCATCTACCACTAAAAGCAGAAAAGTCACCTATGAAAACAAAATATGCTGCAATCCAACAAAATATGTTTACTTTAAATTGTAAGTAACCACATAAACACCTCTTATTGATTGACATATGTTGAATAGGTAAGTTTACTAAACATGTGTACATACGACATTTCTGATGTTTTCTGATCACATTTGCACAAAGTTGATACTTGTTGAATTTTCAACAGACTAGTAGTTTGTGATGTCTGTTGTATGCTCATTATCAATTCGCCAAACGAACAGTCTACTTCAATTCCGACTTACTACGCTAAATTACCAACTCTTTGCGAGTTGGATGGAGGCAGTCGACAAGAAACCCTACTCGGTCTAGGTTTCATGCTTTTTGGTACTAGTCAGCAAGGAGTATCTGTAACCTCGGAAAGACTGATGTCCCACCTGGGACTCGAACTCACTTCACCTACTGTCGACGCCAAAGACGTTGCCACTGAGCTATTCAGGCTGGGAGTGGCATTCTGTGTGACTGGATTACATACATTGATTGATCACTGGGAGGCGGATTGAAACGAACAGCTGAGTGGTAACGCTTATAACTGCAACAATGGGTGACGTGAGTTTGAAATTCAGGCGGGACATCAGTTTCTACGAGGTTTCAGATACTCCTTGCTGACGAGTGCCAAAAAGCACAAAACCTATGTCGAGCAGGGCTTCCTGTTGATAGCCTCTATCCAACTAAAATCTCAGTGCATCACGTTGGTGAATTACCTTGTCTGGTGACCACATTCTAAAATGGTTGATAGAATTTGATTAGCACGTGGGACTAAGCAACATTAAATTGGTTACCCAGTGGCCAACCAATTCACTTAGCATTTTTTATATTTTTATGAGTGGCATCGTACATTAGTGACACTATTACTCATTCAAATTTTGTTTCTTTTGTATAGTTTTACTAGACATTTGTTCTTAAGTTTATACAGTAATTAACGTTGTATTATTTGAACCAAATTGGCTAATTCGGTTTCAGTTTAATATATCCTTAAATTCGACAACGTAACAAAGATTTACTTTTCCTCTTTTTATCGAAATTTTTGATATGGGTACACTTTTTTACAATTGGTAGATTGAGATGAATCGAAGAAGAGGAATTAAGATTCCTAGAGGATGGGGAGCTGATGAGGAAGGCAAAGTAAGTAAAGTTTTACTTCGTTTTCCCTACACGTTTTGTAGTTGTAACACTGAATAAACAGCTTGCTAGCATTTAATGTGCTACATTTTAAAAAACCGACTATTACAAAATGTATTTTCTCCCTTGTATCGACCAACACCTGATGTGTATAATCAGACGAATGCTATCCTATTCTGTGTCAAGATAAACATATGTCAATACAGAACTCGAGTTCACTGTCTAACAACTCAGGTTACCTCAAACTATACTGCTGAATCTATGTGAAATGTAGTGAGAAACTTGAAAAAGGAAGCAACATAAAATGATGAACAACTGTTAAAGTCATGAAAAAAGCATTTAGTCAATTTAACATGCCTATTCAGATGAAGATAAGGTGTGAATTTATCTTCAGGACACTAATCGATCTTTTGACATGCTAACTAGAGTATAAAAATTTCAGTTCCGGTTATTTTGCAGATCTTAACCTAGTAATCTACATTTTCCTATTTGGCTCATATGAGCATTCAGTGGCTTGATAGACTGGTATCGCGTTTCCTTGTCCGGTAACTTTTAGTCATCTTCTAGCTTCACCCTATTTTGTTTGGTATTAGCACTTTGAGGAAGATGAAAGCTAGGCATGTGTCACAGTTTCCAGCTACTTCATACTATAGTGTAGGACCTTATCAAATGATTCTCCTCCTGCGTATTACTTATGGGACTGTGGCCAGTGCTATGAAAGCAACAGTAGTCAAACACTTAGCTCTTTCTCATGTTGTCCATCATATAAACCACGTTTTACAGTCATAAAGTAAAACAGAATTAACTACTGAGCAACAAACTTGATTGATAGTAGGTAATCAGTTGTTTCATAACCGCCATATATGTATTAAGTTGGTTTAAGCTAGCCAATCCTTTTCTATTCGTGCCAAGATTTTGTCCGCAGAAACTCACCAAGGCTGACCTCACTTCTTAGGTAAATGAAATAATTAACACCCTCAACTGCTTTGAGCAGAATAGTCCTGAAGCAACAGCTTGGATTTGGGTGGTGAAAGACATTTTAAAACTGTCATTTGATGTGTTCAAAAAATTATGTACTTAGTCAAAATGGTCAGTTTACAGATCTGCATCATCTGCATAATATAAATGGAAGAAGAAATCTTTTGTAAGAAAATGAGTTCCTTTGACTTCAAACGAGTGTATGAAGATTTTTTTCATTTTAACGATACAGTCAAATAGAATAGAGAAAGCAGGTGTTATTTCTCTATATCTTAGGAATCAATTTTCGAAAATCTTTAGTGATGTAGTTTCAGATCGATGACAGTTAAGTATATATATTTACGAGTAGTCATATCCAGAATCTTAAACAACTTAAACTTCACTGATTTGTTCTGTTTCTCCTAATATCCCTCGTATTACCACAAGTTTCTATTTCTGCGCATTTTGTTTTCATGTGCTTTTACTTAGCGTAACAACTTAAGCTAACTTTGAACACATCATCTATCATGTTATTTCTTTTATATTTTTTCATGTTATTCAAACCAATGTCGAACTCTACATGTTTCAAAACCCACTGAATGATTTAAGATGTGTTCCTAATTTATAAACAAACTGATGAAGAAAGAATAACCTCTATTGTTCTATCTGAATCGTATGTGCGTGAAGTTTTCTTTCGAAACCTATATGCATTGACAACTGTATGCTAGTTTGTATGTGGTTCAACTGTGGTTTCGTCTGGTTATAACATTTACTAAGATACAAAACTGTGAGACATTAATTTAATCAAGTTCTGGATTGTCGAAAATACTCACCAAAAAGACAAGATCAGAATACTTCGTATTTGATTTGGCGTGATATCTTGCATACTTCCATACAGGAAAACATCTTTTATATCAAAGACTGGATATATTACATAACCTATGAATTTTCAGTAGTTGAATCAGTAGAAAAAAGGACAAAAACCATCTTATTTCAAAGTACCTCTCAACTTTTCCACGGGTCTATTCTGTTAGAATAACCAAAAACAAATGATTTTTAAGTTTATGTTTCAATGCCGATAACTGGACCAAACTGGCCTTACCTGCAGGTACATCCAGCTGACAAGTCCCAAACAGGACGAAACCTGTGTCCTGGATTCCACTGCTAGCCACTATTCATTATTAATACATAAGTGAAACACAGGCAATATCCAGGCATCCTTGCAGGAATCCTCATGCCAATGGAGACCGGTAAATTCAGTCCAATCAACAACGGGACAATACAAGCAACAATGTCAATCCCAGTCATCCATCACATAATGTGCATTTTGCTTATGTAATCCTGGCGTAGAATAATGGAACAAATAACAAAATAAATAAATATTTTGTATTATTCTTCAACGTTTCGATCTTCTGGGAAGATCGTTCTCAATCCTAGTCCTTGTTAAAATCATAAAATGACTATCAGCGCTGTTTTTGCACTTTAAATTTATCTTTATCTTATCGCTGATTAGACTCCAAGGTTTAGGAATCAAACGGTACGTAAATAGGTTCTGAGTTGTAAACTGATGCGGCTGATGATTTTCACTACTGAAAGTCTGAGGCCTTATCCAATTTTGAACGAGAAATTCGGTCTAATGTAATCGTCAAATAAATGCCTGTCAATCATTCACTCAATAAGTGATCGAAACAGTTAGTAAGTAAAATGAAAACGGAACTGTAGCTAAGTTTAACAGCTTACCAAATAATTCGGAGATTGTCAGTGTTCCAATTTTTTCTTTTATTTTGGGGGAATCGGTTATTAAGCACTTATCCATCATCTCAATAAAGTGGTCAGTCTTTGTACTATCCTATGCCTGACATATTGAAATAGTTCTCATTTTTCTACCTGAATAAAATCTTCATAGACAACGCGTACCAGTCTTATCTCTACAGGATATTTAATCCGTTACTTATTTGCATACGTTTTTTTTTTAAAATAGATAACATCTGATCCAAATGTGGTTGTTTCAAAAGGTGGACTAATGCCTCTTGGTGGTGAAGAAGAAAGCAGTATGTTAACATCTACTTTTTCATCAAGGTTTTTAAAAATACAATTGTAGTGTAACATATTAATTCAATGGACCTTCATAGTTGAGAGGGAATTAAATTAACAGTTGTTGTTCGCTTTCAGTGACTATTACTCTTAATATGACAATTTCATTCAATTTATCAACTGGTAATCAGTTGTTCGATAAATGTTTATGACTCCCAACAACAATAAAAGTCGATAAGACATGGATAATTGTATTGTTTTATTAATGATGGTGGCTATTTTTCTATGTATCTAGCTGGCAGTGAGTTTTGTTATATATATAATACAGTACAAAATACTCATGTTTATTATTTTCAGCTTGTTCCTTGAAACCAAACTTCAAGGTCACTGAGTAGTCGATTGTATCCTAAAAAACTTCATTTCTTGGAGTAAATGTGGTGCGGAGTGAAGCGAATTCGGTTCCTAGAAATAATTCCCTGCATGGCTGTTCAGGAAGTTCGTCTCAAAGATGTATACGAGTTACATACATACATACCCAGTTTTGCTGTGTGTATTGTCAATTAACAGAGGTGACAAAAGCATTCAACTTGTTTCTTTTTGTCTTCTTTCCTACTAACTATTAAGTGCGTTTAGACTAAGATACTTAGAGTTCTCAGGTTCGTTATTGTATATCCCTCCTGGCGCTTAACTTACTCATAATAGCAATCTACGTTGACCTTTATTATTTTGAAATATGCCGCTGAAGAAATTGATTCTTATGGTCTGCATACCGACTCAGTAAAAAAGAACAGTTACGTCAGTGTCGAATTGACAAGTCCCACATGTAGCAATAACCCTGATATTTGCAATTTGTAGCTGGGTATTTCAGTTGATATGGTTCAAAATGGTCTATCTTTGCTTTTGAACTTACCTTTTATACTTTCCTGTAATGAACATAATAATGCCGTGTGCGTGTCTCCTCTCTTACTAAAAACTTGATTGTTTTGACTACTTTTGGTATTTTTACATTTTTTAGTTTCTCCTGTTTCCCCTACATTTGTTGGGATATGGAGCAACCTGAATATTGCATTGTTGTATGAAGTCCTTATTCCACTCAGTTTTCCTTATTTTCACTTACCTGAACCCTACACCAGACATTTGGAGGATTGTAAAGTTGCTTTGATTTGAGCTCGATGAAGCTTCTACACATTACCAGTTTTTTAGTTGTTGGTTTTTGCTTAATGTCACCTAGGTTGCAAAAGCTTGATTTACGGAACACAGTAATTTACTTTTTGGTATTAGCTACATTACAGTGTATGGTAGAAAAATGATCAAAGGTCACAATCTAATTTTTGGAGTAGAGCAGCATTATATCTAGTCCAAGGACCTATTTGAACCGTTTTGAAGCCATAAATATATTTCAATATTTGTTTTTTTAAAACGAAAGATTCAGTGGAAGGAATTTTACTAATTGTTTCTGGAATTTTTACTCAAAGTTATGCATTGTTAGGCTGCTGTTGAAATATCTTCACGTAGTTTCTGAGATATACCTCGAACTACGTAACTTGCTACCTAGTTTTTCATTGCTTCTCCTATTTACTCGTTCGCATTTCTTTCATTATCTTTTGCAATCAAGGTGGCTACAAAGGATTTGGCTTAGGTATGCTTGTGGAAATATTATGCGGTATTATTGCTGATGCTTCATATGGTTCAAGCGTACGCCGATGGATGACATTCAGTAAACCTGCTAATTTGGTATGTTAATGCATAATTTTTAAACACTTTTAAGATGTTCAAGTTTATCCTTACTATTACAAAATCCACCACGCAATCAGTCATTCAGAATCAACATGGTACCTGGCCTTACTGCATAACGCTCCAAGGTGCTACATTCCTCATTATCAAATTTAGGTAGAAGGTACCGAAATGAAAGTTTGAAACATAAGGAAGAAAGTAATAAGAATTCACGAGAAAAGGAGAAAACTTCAATCAACCTTGACAGTGACCACGCACGCCTAACAAATCGCAGTTATCCGTCTCGATAAAGGTTCAAAATGCCATAGATCGACTTTCCTTTTTTACCCTAAAATTCCTCACCTGACTCAATGGCACTGAGACAGACACAGCCCAAGCTAAGAAAGCAGTGGTGGTCGAACACCTGAAACTATCTGTTTTCCTCTACCTTTACCGGCAAGGTTTAACAGTCAAATATTATAACAGGGGGAACCGCAGCGTAGTACGCTCAACACTTAATAAGCAATCAGAAGTCATGGAGCCGTCACAATTTATGAAAGTCAGTAGAGTTTTGTAACCATGCCAAAACTTCATCAGTGACTGAAGTGACTTCTCAGGTAAGGGAAGTTTTATTGCACTCAGCCGTTTCACTCCCTATTGTTAAACAAGACATCAGTGAGGATCAGTCCTGGAGCAATAATTCACATCTGGACGATGAGAAACGCATCTCAAACAAGCTAAGTTATTACTCAAGCTATCCGAAAGTGTCCATTTTTTCAGCGTCTTCACCTAACAAGCCTATGTTATCTGCGTTCTCTAACCCTTCTAAAGTGTTCAGTGTGTCAAAGTCAATTGCGACAATCAGGCGAGGTGGGACTATTCTCCATAAATCCATCTACAACAAAGCTGAATAAAAACTGGTTGAATCGGCATCCTTCACGTTTGCAACTCGATGTACACAAGTCACTTGGGACGTCACCGTAGGCTTGAATACCTGGATGGGTTTTCGAAGATAAAGCTTATGCTAGTGATGTATGTGATTGTGATTGAAAGACACTGCTGTCAGACTGTTTCATCGACCGTGTTGCCTACATATCAAGAACTACTGCTGGTATCAGATGTGGGTTAATAATCCCGGGTAAAGGGTCAAGATCTGATGGATGCACTCACGACCAGGTTTGAGACATCCCTGGTTTTTTTTCAGGTTCGCTGTTCTAGCGGTTCGCTTACATATCTAATGGTTATCTAACAATGTTCGTCAAACTGATTCCCTGTGACTATCAAAGGATGTTTTCTCTCCAATTTATAGATATCCATACCAAGTTATATTTGGCGGTTTGAAAAAAATTGGACATCTGATGAATGATATTCGTCATTTTGGTGTAAATCTGAAAATAATGAGGATTTCGTCCCTTTTTGAAGATAGATTTGTATAAAAACCTGCATATTTTGCTGATGTAGCTATGGCTTGCACAGCGAAACGGTCAGAAATACCTCGTTTTGGTTTTCTAAACACGCTGGGATTGTATTGAAATATATCCTTATATTACTTTTAGCCTTCCCAACTTCGTCCAGAGTTCGAAGATTCATCTCAGTGTTCCTCTCAGGATGTCATTGAATAGCTGGGAACACAATACTAGCTGAAGGATAAATGATCTGTTCTTCAAATTTTCCGCCCATCATTTCAGTCATCTCACCTGTTAGCGAATCGCAGACTCATCCATTTCCATTATAATCTCAGTAACCGTTGTCTTTTCTGCCGCAGTAGTGTAGACTCTTTTTCAGTCTTTTAAGTTTTCCCCCCTCCCCATCGTGCAACAATTGTGCATCAATTAATTCAGAAGAAACTCCTGAGATCCACTTACCCTTTTCAACCACTTCTTAAGAGTCATTTATGCTTTTTAACAGCGGTTTTACAGGAGACTGGATATGCATCCAGGCTTTTTCTGGGTGAATGACGTTCTCTTCCGATAGCTGTCTAACCAGTTTTTCATCGGAAGCAACCATAGTTTTCTTATCAAAATGAGCTCTCAGTCGTCCTTTTGCAATATATTTTTAACGCCTAGTTAGGCGCAGACATATGTGTTCTCAAAGCAAGATAATATTACTGTCCAAAGGCGTGGTCTGGAAGGAGTGGCAATCTTCAGCCGACCCCCTACAACGATGAGTGATAGAAAAGTGGTCTATGTGTGCCCACTGTTGAGTTGAAGTGGGTGTATACCGTTTCAAATTATGCCTTTCTTTATGCCAAAAGTTGGTGCACACCAGAAACAGGCGATTGTGTGAGAATAGTTTTAGCAGGCGATCGCCGTTATCTTTTTGTTTGGCTTGAAACCCGAAAGTGTCACTTAACTACATTTCTGTTTTAATTAGACAGTTTACGACAGAACTCATCTTTCACTTCATCCGAACTGTGGTCAGTGTATGCGTATACAGAAATTATAGAGAGACCACGACGAGTTTCGCTATCGTCTTTAATCCTCCATGTATGTTTCCAGTCTATTACAACAGTTTGTGATCTATCATTCTTTTCTATTTATCAGATTCCTAGCATAATTAGACCATGTAGCCATTTTATGGAATTACTCAACCACTTCCTTAGCTCATTCTTGACCTGCGTCTATTAAGATCGAAATACATTGTGAGGGAAACAAAAATAATTATCCGACTGAATAAAGTAAGCACTGTCGTTACAACTAATGGAAACTATCAGTCTGAGGTTAAGGGTTTCATTATTTGATAACAGAAATTGCCCCACATTGACATTTCCCCAGCTTCACATTATACTGACCTCTTTGTTGAGTTCAGTAGTTCCAGTCTATAATGCTCTAACATGAAATAGACATATTCTGAGCGTAGTGAGTGAAATGTATCACGTAGAGAAATGCTAATCATTGTGGATATGATGGACAGCTATCACATCACTGTGAATAAATACATAGTCGCATTGTAGCATGTGATTAGTGGTACCAATTATTTTCAAGCTAAGCGATGATTGAAGGTGAAATGATAAACTGGGTCGCTCCAGGATTCTAACGAGCGGCGCCCGGGTTACCAGCCAAGTGTTCTACCAAATGAGCTACAAGATCCAGCTGCTGACCAGACCTAAATTTCACCCGAATAACAAAGGTTTTCACCCCATCTCTGTGTGAGTTAGTGACGTTTATTACATCAAACTTTGAGCGATTTTAAAGATATGTTTTGAAATTTTTTGGTGCTTTCATGCTCCATCGTTTCCCGGTCTGCACCAAGCTTCAGCAAAATGAGTAGGTATAATAAGTACCATCTTGTCATCGAATATATATTTTATTACGTGAAGTATGGACGTTATGTATGATATTTATGACACGGGAATTATTGTACGTAATCAACACCCACTATAAATACTAGCTTGCCAAACTAAGGCTATTTCAGATAGTCATGTGATAGTAAATAGTTCTATCATACCTCTTAAGCATGCATAATGTTACACTCGTGATGAATTTTTAAAATTTTATGCTTTTTTATTCTCTTCGATCGTTTACATATTTCAGGGTCAGTCGTTTGCCGCCATTGATCCTAAGGCTTTTGCACCAGGATTTGAACAAAGATTATCAGAATATGTGAATAGTATGCGCCAGTTACCACCGGTAAGCTACTTAAGTTGTAAAACTGTCATCAGATAATGTATCATGATTATGTAAGTATTTGACGCAGTTTTGGTCCGAAGTATTATGAAATGTTTTGTAACCGGGTAATCGCTGAGGATTATGGAAACGGTTATTACATATATGATAAGTATGTATCAAACACAAAATATGAGGTTATAAAAAGTTGGTATCAAAAACAACGCATTCCACCATGCCCCACGGTCTTTTTGTGCCGGTCGCATGAGTTTCCTCTATCCAGGGTTAGAACAGTCGAACCTCAAAACAACATACCATAGTGCCCCGTGTGTGTCAGACCTCAAGCAGATGTCTCACGAAGCCTGACATCACACAAGTAGTTTTCTTTTTCATGTACCTTAAAAGAAGTATCCTTCCACGGTGTTCCCAGCTGGGAAGTATCAATCGCCCACACGCTTCCAGTAGTACACAAGACCCAGCCAGACATAACTTATCCTTGTGAACTATGTTTCCTCCCTTGCCTTCGTCTCCTCATACTTATATTAGGCCTCTCATGGCTTACTCAAGCTCTCACGCTGTAGCCATTGCCAAAGATCATAGGCATCGAAACCTAATTCCTAGTATCCTAAGACCTTGACGTAGATTTCATGTAGGAGCTTTCAACGTCCAAACTCTATGCCAAATCAGACAGCAAGTATTGCTAGCCAAAACTGTGACCATTTCTAGCCGTGGATGTGTGCTGTATCTCTGAGACACGTATACAAGAACCGAGTGTGGTTATTAACTTGACCTCACCTGGCCATAGTAGTGATCTTCTAGATTTACCTTAAGAATGTCCGGAGACCAAACTGCTAGCTCTCGTAAACTTGCTGTTGTAGGCACAGCACTGAGTTGTAGGGAAGAAGGTGCGCTTTTCGACTGCATACCAGTAAATAGCCGTCTATTCGCTGTTCAGCAGAATTGATCTCTAAGAACTAGGAAGGAACTTGCGACTAAGCAATACCTATTCATAATCTCCATTTACTCGCCTACCGATATCAGTTTAGATGATGCAAAGCATGAATTCTATGAAAAGCTGTCAACTTTGCCACATAAAACAAAACCTTTAGATGTAGTCACAATACCAGGTGATCTTAACGCTCAAGTAGTGAAGCTGAGATAATCAGAAAGGCGTCTTGGAGGTATTTACGGAATCTCACTTTAACAAACCGATAACGTTGATGGTCTGTTGCGATTTCGTTCTGAAAATCACTCTTTTCTGGCCAGCACTAACTTCAGGCATAAGGAAAGACACTATCTCACATGGCGTCCGCTGACTTCAAACCAACGATGGACACAGATAGATTACATTGCTATAACCCATCGTTGGAGTGGATCAGTAGACGATTGCAGTTCTTTCTAGAGTACCAGTCCGAACTCTATCACGCGCTAGTACGAGCTCGTATATGTCTGTCCCTTGCTAACCACAGGAAACAAGCCACAGTGAAGCCTATCTGGGCTCGATTGGGAGATGAGGACGCCAAGTACGCACTTAGGGAAGAGACAACCGAGTATTTATCCCGGCGTGACAACAATGCTCATTGAATAAGAGTCTTTGCGTCGATCATGACCAGTAATGGTTGGCGAAAGCGAGAGAGGTGGAGAAAGCATTAGCGGTGAGTAACACTCATAAACTACTTAAGCTTATTAAGGATACCGGCAGGAAGACGAAATGGTGAGTGAAACCATCACTGAAAAATATAAGACGATGATAACCTCCAAGGACAGGTGGCTAGAACGTTGGGCAAAACACTTCGAAGTATAGTTCAACCTGCTCACAGCCACGCTCCAGTTTCCTACGATTCAACCCGAACTTGAATGGGATGTGAATGTTAGTCCTCCAACTGTCCTGGAAGTCGGAAGGGCTGCTGCATACCTGAAATGATGCACAGCAACAGGACCTGATAGTTTGCCACCCCAAAGTTTTCAAGCACAGAGGTAGCAAATTGCTAATTAAAGTGATGGATATATAAGGCAGTGTATGGGAATCAGAGGTAGTTCTATCAGACCAGTCTACTTCTCTGATCATCCCAGTCAATAAGGGAGATAAATCTTCCAGTGACAACTACAGGGGAATTAGTTTGAGTAATAATGTATCCAAGATCCCAGTTGTCCGACGCATAAATGCAGCTCAAGAAAACTAGGTAGGTTTCATACCTAGATGAGTGTGCGTCGATCATATTTCCACATTTGACTCAGTCGACGATGAGCTGTTGTTGCAGTGTCTGACTGTGAAAGGAGTACCCAGTGAATATATAACACTAACCAAAACCCTATTTCAAACTTACGCATCCGCGTAATGGCTTATGGAGAACCACATGAATTAGCGACAACTAGTGGTGTCCGACAGGGATGTCCAGCGTCACGGTACCCACTTAACTTCGTCAAAAACGTACTAATGAACATAACCTTAGGTACGTCTGACTTCACACGGGTCGATATACTTCATAGAGGTCACCTGGTTGACTTGGAGTATACAGACGATACTGTCCTCTTAGGTGAAGAAACCAATGCAGTACAGGGTCTTCTGGATGGGTTGAGCGGAAATGAGAGTATGTTTGGGATACGTTTCTCTGCCACCTGTCAAATGTAAGATTACGCTCTGGGCCTGGTCTGCCGCAACCACTCCCAGTCTAGTGATTGGGAGTGAGGTGGTTGAATTTGTGGACCACTTCACTTGGGGAGTTGTATCAATCCTAACGGGCTGATTGATGACGAAGTCTTATCTCGGATACAGAAGACCTGTGTGCCATTCACCAACTTGCGTCACCTATAGCACTGGCGAGACACCCGACTATCTGTCAAAGAACAAGTATACTGCGGTGCAAATTGTTTTTTCTTGTTGTATGACTGTGAGACATGGTCGTTAAAAGTAGAAGATATGAAACGATTACTTAGTTTTGATCGCAGATGTCTTCATTGCATTGCTCACGTTTGGGTGAACAGCCATGTGAGCATCGTGGAAGTCAGGCCAAGGGTTGTAGGCAAGACGGGCAAATTGACTGATGAGGTTGTGGACCTTCATCGGCTGAGATGGCTTGGACATATACTGCGTTTGCCAAACCGCCGCCTATCTTGAAGTACCATGCTTATGGATTAGGTTTGAAAAGGACTCAGGGTTGCCAGATTAGGACCTGGAACTAGATGATGAAGTGTCTAACTGTTGGTCTGAACCTTATGGGGAGATTTAGACTGCCTGGTTGAAGTTCAGGAGATGAAATGAATGAGTTGTTGAGGACTCTTGATTGTATGGTTGAAAATCGACCACAGTGGCGCATATGTATTCACTCCTTGACACCTTCTAAAGCTTGAACATTCACACTAACCATTATCTTCAGATTGTGTATTCTCTTACACTACTTTATCTACTTTGATATAACTTTTTCTAACCACCTGTTCTTTGTGTACTGCTGTGAAGTGTGGTAACTTGAACCGATGCACCTGTGTGCGATGTTGTACGTTGACAGTCAGTTACAGTGACCACACAATGGTTCGAAAAGATGTGTATCTGTTTCTAAAAGAACTTTAGAAGACCAACCATAAATTAACTTACCGATATGGATGCTAAGATTTCTTTTCACGTAAAATTGGCTTAACAGTTATCGGATTATGACAACATCACTCGTTTTTAAGACGTTTAGCACTATTCGGAATCTACTATAAAAACAAAAGAGAAGAAAGTAAATTACCGTATTAAAAAACGGTAAGAAATTCCCGGTTTTCTCTGAATTATTGAGTGCAGGTGAGCGTGTTCCAATGGATAAACATTTATCTGCAATTTATTCACAGGAGGGATAACTTAAACGATGGGTAAAATACCTTAGCTAATCTTTGTTTTTTCGCATGTTCAGTCACACCAGGAATGGGCCATTGAGTCTCTAACTCTTGCAGAAGCTGGGAGGGCTGTAAATAGCCTGATTTGATGAAGATCAAATAGTTTCGATGACGAAGAAGGGTATTTAAGTATAGCGGTTAGACTAGCCGATAAGCTAGCTGGTATATGGGAATCAAATTTGATGCACTCTATTTTCTGTAATCAACTTATGTCTAATCTGAGCCGAGAACAACAAACCCACAGAGAACTCTAAACTTTCAGACCAGAATGAGAGCATACAGATGATATTCTCAATCTCCAACAGATTTTGAATGGCATCATACCTATTAGTGCGCAGTGCTGACTGTATTACTTAATCGGAAGATTAAATTTAGTTCCATCGATCATGTTACTCTATGGCAAAACCCTTCACTTTAAGCGGTATTTGAGAAAAAAAGGTAACTCTTCCTCAGGTTCTATACTTAAATACCCTTCATTGTGTTATAATTTACTGTGACCTGTCAAGTAAGTCATTCATGTCTAGTGGTTTCTGTCAAGGATGTTCCCTTTTCGCATTTATGCACCTACGGAAGTTATCGTCTTCTCGTCTCCTTGTACAGAGATTGGTTTGATTTCAGGAGGTTTCGTATCTGAAAAATTCCCGGTAGATGAAATGCCGAGAAAAACCAGTCTTATAAAATATTTTGAGTGACAATTTAAGAATGCTTGGGATGGTTTCTTCATCACTCAGGTGCAAATTACTGCTGCAAAACTGATCTGAATTATTACTTAGTGCGATAACAGAGTGAAGCGGTTGAACTCGTCGACCCCTTCATTTACATGAAAATTAGCATTAGCCTTTCTGGTTGAAGAAATTTTTGATAAGATTTAAAAACCTTGATCAGCTTTTGCTAACTTACGCCACCTGTAATGCCACATCGACTTAGAGAATTGACTTTCAATCAATGGGTTATCGGTTTGAGCACCACCTCACCTGCCGACGTTTAGGTACCAGGTAGTATCATCAACCCTCACAAAGTAGTGCGGCTGATTGTCTGCGGCACAGATGTGTGCACAACGTTGCTGTGTTGATTTTGATTTCGATCTATTCGACCTATGGGGTCAGCAGAGTATCTGAGAATATATACAAACTAAGTCAATTAACTTTATT